TTCATTTTTCTTTTCCGTCTCTTCAAGCTGTGTCTTTATTTCTTCCTTTGTGATATTGATATATATTTTCTAACCTTTTTACCATTTCAGTAACATTTTCCTTTACTTAAGATATATTGGCATATGTATCTGTCATCATTTTTGCCTCTTCCATTACTTGAGACTGGCTGCTTGACAAATTGTTTTCAATCTGCTTAACAATTTCCTGTACTTTGACTACTTCATCAACTTTGCTTTGCAGATTCTCTGCCTCAATTTGACTACTGGTTTCTACTCCTTCCACCTTTTCCCTGCGTTATTTGATTTTCATGTCAGAAAAAAAAAAAAAAAAAAAAAAAAAAAAAAAAAAAAAAAAAAAAAATATATATATATATATATATATATATATATATATATATATATATATATATATATATGTGTGTGTGTGTGTGTGTGTGTGTGTGTGTGTGTGTGTGTGTGTGTCTTTGTGTCTATGCATGTATGTACACTCTCTCTATCTATCTATTCATCTATTTCTCTCTCTTTTTCTTTCTATCTCTATCTCTCTTGTCTCTCTCTCTCTCTCTCTCTCTCTCTCTCTCTCTCTCTCTCTCTCCTCTCTCTCTCTCTCTCTCTCGATATATATATATATATATATATATATATATATATATATATATATATATATATATATATATATATATATGTGTGTGTGTGTGTGTGTGTGTGTGTGTGTGTGTGTGTGTGTGTGTGTTTGTGTGTGTGTGTGTGTGTGTGTGTGTGTGTGTGTGTGTGTGTGTGTGTGTGTGTGTGTGTGTGTGTGTGTGTGTGTGTGTGTACTCGAAGGAAGATGGTTACTTACATCATTGAAGTTCCAAAAGAGAAAGCAGTTAATGGGGACAGAGGTGTGAAGCATACCACCCAGTCTTGCTTTGTATTGTTTACATCGCTCGGCCACGCGCAAGGTTCGTCCTTGAGCCGTCTGCATTGCTTAAAACACAGTAATAAGCACGTAGGGATACATGTTCTACTCAGCATCTTACAGATGATTCCTGATGATCCGATGGTTGCTTGGGTTGCCGCGTGCAAGACTAGTGGGTCTGATGCAGATTTCGCACCAAGTTGCAGCATCCAGTAACAAGGAGGGTCACATAGTTTCTAGAGGCTGAAATATAAGTGTGCCAGCCCAGTAAAAGTTCTGAGTTCGGTAGTACAATGTTTGTCAATCACCTTACTAAGTTGCAAGAAAAATAAGAGTGTAATAAGAACAATTTGTCACAAGAAAGTTAACTAGTCAAGTGAGGAAATGTTAATTACTTAGGATTTGTCAGGATTAGCGAGTACAGTGCAGTACCATCAAATTGCGAAGAGAAAAATTATTCAGACAAGAATACCATATCTTCAGGCTAAATAAGCAAGTACTTATGCTTCAAACACACACAGGTGGTTGAGCCATTATTATCATTATTGTTAATATTTTTATTAATATTATTATTGTTATTGTTATTATTACTATTATCATTATCATTGCTGTTGTAAATATTGTTAATTTTATTATTATTACTTTTATTGATGATAATGATGATGATAATGAGCTCAGTATTTATTATAATTATAATGCTAAAGATTACAATGATATAAAATACTATCATTTTAATAATAATAATGATAATAATGAAAATTGTGATGATAATGATAATGGCAATGTACCAATTTCTAATGTGATTATTTTATTATTTTCTTTGGTATTAGTATCATAAGTACTATCTTTATCAATACTCTAATTATTTTTACATTAAAATTTATTTTCTCTATAATCAAAGTGTCCTATCAAATAGAAAACATGGTATTTCATATCAATTTCTTTTTCCTTATTTTAATTCATCTGCCTTGAGCCTTAAAGCATTAAAATCTTAATCTTAAAGTTTACCCCTTAAAGTCGTTTTCTCTAATGAACACATTATCAGAGAAAACTGGCATTGTCGCGTGGTCGGGACAATCCTCACATTTTTCTATACAGGAAACTCATGACTGGAATGAATATATTTATACCTATATCAGTAGGCTATCTGCATCTATAACTGTATCTATCTATTTCTATATTTGTATACACATATGTCCATGTATCTATCTGTCTATTCATCTACCTATCTTTCTTTCTTCCTCTCTCTTTCTATTTACTTATTTTCATTTGTAAATAAGTAACCACTTTCGTTCGGGGTTCCACAAGGCTCCATCCCAGGCCCAGACAGATACATGACATTTGAGACACACATTGACGACATCTACATATAAGTAATGGGCACTCTGACATACTTAAATCACATCAAAAATAAAATACTCATAGAAATAAGACTTGCTTTTATATAACACTAGCACTTGGTATCATTAATTACTGCCTAAACATCTGGGGCTCCACAAACAAAACACAAATACCAAAGACATAAAAACAACAGAACTTCGCGGCAAGCACTGGAAATGTAAATAAATATGACCACATCGCACCACATATACACCAACT